CTAACCCTAAAGCCACCTGAATTAAAGGAGAAATGGATGATATATGCAGTTCAAAGAAGGCACTTACTTTGCCTCGTGCAAATCCACCAACAACGATTGCAACAGCTCGATTGTCACCCGTTTTTGCGATTTCACTACATTTGATCAACGCGTTCGCTTGAAATGAAGTGAGAATCTTACGACAGCCAACTGGCAAATGCACACTCACTGGATTTCGTATCACTTTCAGCAATTTAGCAGAACTATCCGCCGCACGAATCGACAGCTTATGCAGCAGCTGAACTGAAATCCGGATTGATTGACTGAAATGTTTTGAATATCGAAAGCAAATTCAGCGATTCATAAACGTTCAGCACACACAGCTTCGAATGCTGTATGCTGTAAGCATAGTTTTTTTTTTTGGAAAAGAATTCGCTAATATTTTTCTTTGGTATCTTATATGATGAAGACCAGTTTCACCAAGGCAAAAATAAATCGGGCGAGGGTAATAATTAGTGTATGGCAGAGAAACAAAGGAGAGATTTATGAATCTGATCCCGAAACTTAAGAGAAGCTAAGATACCCATTAATCCACAAAATCTGTCGAACGTTCTCGGAATTCGAGTCTGTGGACTGACTTCGATGAGGACATTGTTCGTTGTGTGGATGAAAATTTGTAGAAGATTTGCTCGATTCAAGGGACTGTCCAATAACATTAATAAACACTGAAATGAAACGAAAAACTTTGTAATTTCACTGACAAATGAAATGCATAAAATTGAGATTATTTAAACCTTGAAATTATTAAAATCTATTCATACAAGTCAACACTGACGATGGCTGATTCGTTTCGAATCCGATGAAATTATTTCGGAACGAACACTTGTAACTTCAACATCTCTATTGATACAGATGGTTCGACTTGTCAAATACTCGTTTAATTTCCTACCTGATGCAAAATATCTGGTCTGTAGTTGGCAGGATCTTTCTTTTGGTTCTTCAAAAAATTCGCGTGTTTATCACTACTCAGTATCACGTAATCTTTACCAACCTGAAAACGCATGTGACGTTACCACAGTTCATCATGCACATAACTCAACAACTCCATTCATTCTGATATCCCGACCCTGAATTTCAGCTTCGAATGTAAACTGTGANATCGTACGCACGTCGAGGATTCAACTCGTCCGAGCGAACGAATCAAGTGCACGATGCAACAACTTTCAACACAAATGCNCTCCAGTCACTTGCCTCCAACTAAATAACAGATACGAATCTTTTTCAGGATTCAAGCTTTGCCCGAAAAGTGAAATCATAATAAGAATGAAACAAACTTTAGCGCTTTCTAATGAACATTTTTCTAGAATGATGATTAATTTTTTGTGCGCATCCGATGCGTCATCCTCATCGACATCGGTTTTCAATCGTTTCGATGGTGGAGGCATCGCTGAATTGCTGAAATTCAATGCGGTCATCGTACGCACGTCGAGGATTCAACTCGTCCGAGCGAATGAATCAAGTGCACGATGCAACAACATTCAACACAAATGCCCATCAAAACAATCTCTCAAATAAATAACCATTCGACACAATCAACGAAACCCTCTCAGTTGCAGTGAACACAACATGCAAATGACCACAATACACATCACACTATTATTATTTTATTCGCATGACGTTTTTCTGTACATATACAAAAAAAAAACATGAAACATAACACCAGCAAATGAGCTGTTATCAAAAAAAAATGTCACCAAATTCTCATCGAACCACAAAAATCGGCAGTAGCCTCATGAATTTTGAACCTGAAACGAGAAGAAAATGAAGTACCACGTTATCT